ATAAAGAAGTTATTTAAAAGATGTTTAGAAGTATTAACCGTTTTGCAATTATTATTTTTTGTGCAAATAATAATAAAGTGCTGTTATAAATTACAGTTAAAGAGATCCGTTAAATTATTTAGAACTTAACAATCAGCTTCATGCACAGTATGATGCAAGCAAAAATAGTACTTAATATACCCGCCCGTTTGGTTAGCGAAAATATTAAATTATGGCTGTGAGGTCACCAAATTTGTTAGAAACATAATGTTGTCTAAATGTTGTTTTAAAAAATGATTACTTAGAAAAGTTACTACTGTTCACTGTTCTGTAGCACTGTGTGTACTTCTGTTCATTAAGGAAAAAAAAACAGTTTAAAGTAATTAATAGGTATAAGAATTGAAATAACATTTCGTTTCAATATTTTTAAGTAAAGTTATAAATATTTATTTATCGAGGGAAAAAATAGCTTTCCACATCAGAAAAAAAAAATTCATGATGATAGTAGTAACCCGAAGTTTGCTAAAGCTTTCTTATCTTACTGATGTCTCCGGCATCTGTTAGTTCTAGAACGGTCCTTGTCAGTGAAGTTTACTGACGATTCTACTGTTCAGTGAAAATTCACAGCAGGTAACTAGGCGCCTAGTTCATGATAACATATAGCAAATCCAATTTGCAAATAGCTTAACAATTTGATTAAGTAAAGTCTTAAACACGTGGCTTTTAAGGAATTCGTTATCAGTGTCTAGTCTATGCTTGGTACTTGGTATGTGTCTAATGTTACATGTGGAAGATAGTTATTTTAACGACTTGTATCTATTGTATATAGCGATATATGGTGTATTGCTACATATAAGTTGATGTATCATAACTTAACCAATTATTTCTTAACTTGAGGGCTATTTTTTCAATTTTGTTTTTCAAAATATGCCGTTTTTGAATTAAATTGTTTATCAAATTTGCCGTAACTATAAAATAATTTAAACATTATACATGCAAGCTCTGTAATCAGAGAGGAAAAAATGCAAAGCACGGTTAGATAGTAAATAAGGAGGTAAAGAAATTTAGAAATTATGTGTCTCAAATAATTATGCATAATAAATTTGAAAATATGGCCGTTTAATCAAACTATTAGCAATAACTACTTATTATTCGTGATCGCCATATAGTCAGTGATGAAACACGTTGAAACAACTATAGGTTTAAACAGCAAAAAAGATGATTAAGAAATTTAGTCATAGGCCTCTAGAATTAATAAGCAATTAATTATTCATTTTAATTCAAGATTATGTACTTGTTTTATGTAATCTTTTATGTGAGAAAAGAGCTTAAGAACCAAGTTCTTCTCTTTATTTCCTGAAAACAAATATGTATGGAATGTCGTGCATGAATAGAGAAATATACACGGATAACATTTCTTTATGTAAAAACATATCCCGAGTATACGTGAACTTTATTCCTCTGTAAGTCAATAGAACGATTGATAATGATAACAATGCAATGATAATGATTTGGATTATTCTGCATCAGTAATCGCCATTTTCCCCATGTTGACTAAAGTAATCAATATCAAAATGAATTCGTATCTATTTTCTCAATACTACTTCAATCCAGCTAGAATATTTAATCGAAAGAATCATTTAGTTCATATTTTTAGGAACGCAATGCAATACAGTTAAAAGTAATTTATAACTCGCGCCAGGAGTTATAATCATTAATAAAATACCTTATATGTACTATTCAAATTAAATTTTTTGTTTTCAAATGAAAATTTTAACCTTATAGTTTTGTAATAGGAAAATTTTAACCTTGTAATTTTCAAAATAAATTTTTTATCTTTATATTTTTAAATGAAATTTTTATTTCAAACTATGGATAAGAATTTGTATGTAAAAAAAATTCGTAATAGTTATTTGTATCTTTTTAGAATTTTACAATTATTTCACAGTGTATAAAATTGGCTTATAACGAAAAGAACAAAGATAATTAATAAGTTAAAAAATAAATATCAAGCGTTTTTATAAATGGAAGAACATTAGTGAAAAAATTGAAAGGAAGAAACTTACCAACGTCTGGTATAAGATTTGTGTAGAATCATATTCTTCGATGAGCACTAATTCCATAATAAATATCAAAAAGTTTAGATATCGTATAGGAAATTCATTTCCGAAAAGTTACATAAGTATGAAGATTTCATAAATATTTTTATTCAGATTGATTGAAATTAAATAAGTTTTAAGATTTCATATTATATTTCAGAAAAATGAATTTTTCATCAGCTCATCTTATTGCACGTTTATTGATTGCAGACGAGTTTTAATTTTGAATAGCACTAGACAACTTTTTAGAGTTATTTATTTTTAACTTTTATCCTCTACTTTGTTGTTAATGTTCAGGTTAGCTTTGCTCTCACTTTTTTTTAAAAAGAAATATTCTTAAATTAATTTTATAATTCAAAATGAATTAGTTTTATATTTATAAACATGCGCTATTTTTAACAAAATTTTTCAAAATTCGAACATAAATAAATAGATAACGACATATTCTATTAGGCAAACGATTTTCAAAATGGCAAATCTCATTTTTTTCCAGAAATTATATATCGGGTATTTTTGTATGTTTCTTTATACAAAGGTTTATTTGGGAGTAATTTTTTTCAATATTATTTTAATAGTTGTGCGATCGTTTATAACTAGTATTACCGTATATCTAACAAAAAATGCGATTATAAAACATGCATTAACACATTAATATTAAAACAGCGATAGCAGTTTGTTTTATGTTGTAACAAGTTCTAGTAAATACACCAGATTGTATTTGTCAGATACATTCAACTAACTGTTGTATATTTTTTCAATTCAAATTACAATATTTGTCTTGGTAAATGGATACATAATGTTCAAATAGCCTCGAGAAAAATATCTAACGTCAAAGAAGTGAAGAAAAAGTTTTAATTACAAACCACCTTCATTTAAAAACTAAAAATGTAAGAAAAAGTTATGTTAACTCTGATGTGGCTAAAAAAAATTTTTTCTTCCTCCGTTTGCTTCGCCCCACCTTTAACGTTTTGACTTCGAATTCTACAAGGTAATAAAATTGTTTTCTACTAAATAATTCATTTATTTTTTCTTCCCTGTAAAAAGCAGTTATGCAACTTAAAGCTAAAAAATTGAACATAATCAATGCTTGAAAAAAAAGTTAGGGTTTTGTGAGATTATTAAAAATATTAATGAAGCATTTATGATGAAGAAGTTATCCGTAGGAGTTATTAGTTTTTGTTAAGATTAAACGTAACTTTAATATTAACACAATTTTTTTAAAATTGTTTTTCTTTCTTTCTTTGCTTAGTTTTGTCTTTTATTCACCTTATTTATGGTATTATTTTTTCACCTCCATTACTTTTCAACTCCATTATTTTTCATCTACATTCAATTGTTCGATTACCAAGTAGTATTATTTCATGACAGATCCACCTGCACTAACTGAAATTTGATACGTCTTTAATGTTGCCGCGTGAAAATGAAGCAATTTTATAGATATTTAACTTTGCCGTTTGGCATTTGGAAAAGGCGAATGGGCTCAAAAGACTCTGATTTCATGTAAATGTGTTTGTTATGTTCTTAATGGTAAACGTGAGAAATAACTTTGTTTAAATATTTTTTAAAATGTATGTAAAAAATAAATGCAAGCGTGAAGTTTCCCAACAAAAATTTTCAAATTCATTTATGAATGTATTTTTTTCTACCGTAAAAAGTTATTCCTCTTGAAAATTATAAGTGTTTAGCTAAATTTCTTTTGTTAATTGTCGATGCTGTTCAGAGAAATTTCATGATACATATATACCAAGTTACTATGGATACTAATGTAACAAATTGATGTTGTCGATCTTTATGTAATGTAATTGCGAAAACTTCTTTAATAAAACTAGTAGTAGTTATTTACATTATTTTATTATACATTATTCTATTATACATTTGTAATAATGAATAAATAACTAAATGTTATCTTGAAATTATTATTATTTTATTGTTGGGGGAAAATTGCTTTAAAATTTGTTAAATTTTACCTTCAAATTTTGTACAATTTACTACTGATGTAAAGTTAATTATATCTTAAACATAAATTTAAGATTGACACTAAAAAAAAAGAAAATTATTCCAAGAACACGGTATTATATTTCTAAACAAATTATCATTATTCTCCGTTATTTTTAGGCTTTTTTTTTCAAAAAACTACATTTAAAATTGAGGGAATAAATATTAAGTCAATATTTCACGCAATAAATAATTAAAACTTTGAAATAAAATTTTTTAAATTTTATTATAATGTTTCCAGTAAATCGGCATAAAAAATTTACCTTTAACATTAGAAAACATAACACATAGAAACAGAGCACAAATTAAAAAGAAAAGAAAGTATTTTGGAATTATCAGCCACATTGATCAGGATATATAAAATTCATTATCATTAAAGTAGGTCATCATTGATGAAGGAGGGGGGGGGGCATAGTCGAATAATTGTTAGTATAATCGAAATCATATTTTCTTTTAATAAAAGTTACAGATTTATTAACTGATTAAGAAATAAAAGTTGTCTAAAAAATTATCAGTTTTCTAAGTGAAAGTAACAAAGAAAGTAAATTATAGTTCAAACAGATTTCTATCTGCCTTGTTTATTTCTCTCTAGACTTACTGGTTTTATTATTTAATCCAACTGTTTTTGCTTGTAAAATGTGTTTTTAGTTTCTAATTTCTTTTCTTGGTTTACATTTTATCGGGGAAAAAAAAACATTTTGTTTGTTGTTCAGCATGTGTGCGACTTTTATTTTGTTTCAATGACCCGCGCAAAATTTATTGCGAAAAATAATATCTCCTTCTCGATTTTATCTGAAAAATAAACAGTCTAGTGTTTCCAACATCATTTAAAATCCGCGCCAGATTTTTACTTGTTGGCGTTACATCTGGCGACGAAAAAGTGATGGAAAAGTTGTAGAACTTCACTGTCTTGAAAGGTAACCCTAGCAGGTAAAACGCGTGTGTGTAGTATACACACAGAATTGAGCGGCAGTAGTAATAGTTGTACCCAATAGGTGGGTAGAACTTACGCTGTTTTTCAGACGATTTTTTTTACCAGTTGTTTTTTCTTCTTCTTTCCGAACTGGATACACTCAAAAACACTATGCCAAAGAACTTGTTTTGCGAAGTGAACTTATAAACGATTTTGTTGATGTAGCATGTGAATTTATAATTGTGCTTTTTTATTGAATTTGCAAGTGCCTCCGAGTTGACAGTTTTTTTATTGCTTGGATTACCACGATGAAAGGACATCGGTGAGATATTTTATATTTTCATGAGAAATGTCCCTTACAACGAAGAGAAAATGCTTTAACTCAGCATTTTATTTAGTAAAATTGCGTATTAAAAATTGAGAAGGCAATTTTGTGAGTAGACATAATTATAGCACAAAATCATAAGATCTGAAAGTACTGATAATTTTATTATAAAAAATTTTTCATAATAAAATTATCAGTAAGGAGAAGATTTTAAATCAGTATGGAGAAGAAGAGGAGACATCATAAGATTTTAAATCGTTGTAGTGTAATTAATTTAATCAAAAAAATTATGAAAGGCAATGTGCTATAATGTACTATATTCCCATATATTAAAAGTTGTACAAATTAAATGCGTAATTAATTAAATGTATTGTTTATCTTTGAGCAGCAGAAATACATAAGACATCCCTAATCTTTCTAGCCCCATAAGAATTAATCTATTTTAACATTTATTAAGAAAATTGCCCTAAATTTTACTCATTGCTTAAATTTTTTTTTCGACTTGTTGATAAATAAATCTCAATTTCCTTCACAGATTTTGTGAATTTATGGTAATCAAGTCAATGGGTGGTCCAAAGTTGTTTTTCCCATCTCGTATATCACGTGTCCCTTGAAATGCTTCTGGATGCGGGATGTTTCTGAGTTTTCTTTCATATTTATTTACAACTAGCAATTTTTTTTAAAATTTTTTTGTCCTTTAGTAAATGTTATAAGATAAATAAAATCTCAATTTTATTCACAAATTTTGCGGATTTAGGGATATTGAGTCAATCGGTGTCTCAAACATGTTTTTTGTGTGTCATGCAGTCATGCGTCCCTTAAATTGCTTCCAGATGTAGGATGTTAATGAGTTTTTTAACCATTTTTTTTAAAGATTTTTTGTTTTGGGCTCTTAATTCTAGATAAATGAAATTTCAATTTTCTGCATCAATTTTGGGAATTTATGGTTATCAAGTCAATGGATGATCCAAAAATGTTTTTTTTGTCCCTTAAAATTTTTCGGGGTGCGGGATGTTCCTTATTTTTTTCTCCACATTTTCCTACAACTAAATTTTTTTTTGTTTTTTTAATACGGGTTTTTGATAAATAAAAGTCTAGATTTTATATTCAAATTTTGTGGTTTCAGGGTAATTGAGTCAATCGGTGATTCAAACATGTTTTTCATGTCTTATATGCCAAATATGCCCATTGAATTGCTTCTTGTTGCAGGATCGTAATAAGTTTTCAAACCATTTTTTTTTTTAATTTTTGTCTTTTAGTTGGGGCTCTAGATTTTAGATAAATAAAACCTGAAATTTCCTTCACAAATTTTGCGAATTTAAGGTTATTGAGTCAATTGTTAGATGTTTGAAAGATGTTTTTCGTGTCTCATAATTCTTTTCCAATAACAAGGGTGCTCTCTACGCTGTTGAGAGGAAATCTTTCTTTCATCAAATGGCCATGGAAGAAGAAAAAAAATTGTTATTGAAGAGGAAAATTGAATGATTATATTAGGATTGATCTGACTAGAAACTTTCTGCTGGTATAGGATCGTTTGACAAAATTCTTCTTAAACATCGCTGGGGCGTACCTTTTTATATACCTCATCGTTAGCACTTTTTTTTCTTTTTGCAAACCGTTTTATTAACATGACCTAGTAGAAAAATAAGTTTCATTCATTCAATATAAAATGTTTTTAAATCCGAATTTTCGCTTTTTCTCTGAATATTATATGACACCTTCTTCCCCCATATATGAGTACAAAGATTTTTATACAAAAAATAAATAATAAAAATAAAATGAGAATGTTAAATTAAAATTGAAAAAACTGTTTTTTTTTTTTTTTTTTTTTTTTTTTTTTTTTTTTTTTTTTTTTTTTTTTTTNTTAAAATGCTTCTGGATGCGGGATGTTTCTGAGTTTTCTTTTCGTAATTATTTACAACTAGCAATTTTTAAATTTTTTTTTTGTTTTTTAATGAGAGTTTTAGATAAATAAAATCTCAGTTTTATATACAAATTTTGTGAATTTGGGGATATTGAGTCAATCGGTAATTCAAACATGTTTCTTATGTGTCAAGTGTCTCTTATTGGAGATTTCCCGTCCCTTAAATTGCTTCCAGATGTAGGATGTTAATGAGTTTTCTAACCATTTTTTTAAAATTGTTTGTTAAATTTTAGTTTGTTTGAATTTTATGAGTAAGGATTTTCTTAATTCTAGATAAATAAAATTTCAATTTCCTTCACAAATTTTGTGGATTAATGGTTATCAAGTCAATGAATGATCCAAAGATGTTTTTCTTGTCTCATGTTATGTGTCCCTTAAAATTTTTGGGGTGCGGGATTTCCCTGAATTTTCTTTCCACATTTTCTTACAACTAAAAAAAAAGTTGTTTTTTTTGTTGTTCTTTTATTAAAGGTTTTAGATAAATAAAATTTAGACTTTATATTCAAATTATGCGGTTTCAGGGTTATTGAGTCAATCGGTGGTTCAAACTTGTTTTTCATGTCTTATATGCCCCTTAAATTGCTTCTTGTAGCAGAATTTAACTTTTCAAACGATTTTTTATTAATTTTTTTTTTGTCTTTTAGTTAGGGCTCTAGATTTTAGATAAATAAAACCTGAAATTTCCTTCACAAATTTTGTGAATTTATGGTTATTGAGTCAATTGTTCGTTGTTTGAAAGATGCTTTTCGTGTCTCATAATTCTTTTCCAATAACAAGGATGCTCTCTACGCTGTTGAGAGGAAATCTTTCTTTCATCAAATGGCCATGGTTAAAAATTGTTATTGAAGAGGAATATCAAATGATTATATTAGGTATGATCTGACTAGAAACTTTCTGCTGGCATGGGATCGTTTGACAAAATTCTTCTTAAACATCGCTGAGGCCTACCTTTTTATAAACCTCATCGTTAGCACTTTTATTTTTTTTCCGCATAATTAACCGTTTTATTAACCTAACCTAGTAGAAAAATAAGTTTCATTCATTCAATATAAACATGTTTTTAATTCCGAATTTTCGCTTTTTTTCTGAATATTATTTGACACCTTCTTCCACCATATATGAAAACAAACATTTTTATACAAAAAATAAATGATAAAAATAAAATGAGAGTGTTAAATTAAAATTAACAAAACTGTTTTTTTTTTTTTTAATAAAATAAATAAATAAAACTGCTTACGCACCTCTCATAGAAAATAATTTTTATTTCACGCTGCGCTTATGTCTGTTACTATGTTTTATTATTTGAAAAATGAAGGAACCTGCCATTTAAAAAAAGCATTAAATACAGGCTATATTTAGGGTTCAAAATGTGTGTGGCATATTAATGTATTTACTCATGCGCAGCGGCACTATAATATGATGGGGGCTTCAGCGGCACGACAGGTGCTAAGAATGACTCATAAACATGACCAAAGAACTCTTTTGAATCCCGTTTATTGCCATTGTCTATTTGATTTGCATCTGAAATTATATTTCATGAGTCATTCCTCCATTTTTTTTTCATCTTTTAAAAGGTCTATAGCACCAATGTATCTTTCCATTTCATGTTTTTGTTTTTAAAACACTTGGAACATGATTTTTTATTTTATTTTTTAAATTTTGGTTTTCGCTGTTTATTGAAATATATAGCTAAGAATAAGAGCAATTCCCTATTATATTAGTTTTATTTGTACTGGATTAGAGTTTATAAATAATAACCCAAATACTGTAATTTTGGTTATTTTTCGTTTGTCATTTTTTTTTTACATACATTTAAAATGTCGCCTTATGTATGTCCGTTTTAAAATAAAATTAGTTATTTCTGACAATGTTTATTAAATCAACTGGTATCTTCTAAATTATTATTTATAATAATTATTATGTATTTATGAAAGTTGAACGGATACTTAAGTTTTTCGATTAAGCGTAAACATATAAGGTGTTCCGTAAACACCGGCTGTAATATACCTTTTTGGAATCTGTTCCAATCATGCAGAAAGAAAAGCCTATACATTACAAATTAATATTTAAGTAAGCGAGGAAGAAACAAAAATTTTGTTAAAAACTCAGGAATCACTAATGAGGTAGACGAGATTGATAACCAGTTTGATTGCCTAATTAGACTTATTTTTAATAATTATCTTTTAACCAGTCATTGTTCCTTGAACAGCAATCAATCATGCTTTGGTTATTTCAGTACTGCTTTAGATTTCAGTAGCCTTTTTATGTTTACTTGGTTTAAAAGCTTTTTGGGTCTCCTAATATGTATAAATTTTTTTTCCATAAATTTCGACTCGAAGTTTGAAAATATATATTAATGAAACTATAAAAAAGCTTAATATTTATGTGGAGGAAAATACAGTGGTATGGTTTTAATTTTATTACTAAGAGCAATAAATGGTTGTAATTATTTTTAGAGTTTAGGGAAATAAAAATTTAACCAAAAATTCTCTCTTTTCTGATGTAAAATAAATAGTTGGTTCTCAGTCACAACAGTCCCTTTAACTTTTTCCGGAATTTTGAAAGATAGAAAATTTTCTAGGTGGTCGAATTAGCTCTTAAGGGAAACATGAACTAAAGTTGTATAACCAAATAGGCGGTTGTTGCGTATTATTTTTGCCAACAGCAATCGACACTTAACAGTTTAAGAAAAAAATATTTTTTTTTAAGGTCTAAATTAAAACTTTTATTGTTATTTTCAAATTACTTGACACCTGATTGAATTTCTAATTGAAATTATATAAAGTTTTTTTGCTGACAGTGTTATAACTGTCCACAAAACCGGATCCTTGGGTGGTTTCGTTATTGAACTTCCTCTATCAAGCGAAAACGCCCTGCTTCTGCAAAAGAATTATTTTCATTTTTATGGCTTTTGTCACTGAAAATAGCGGTGGACAAGGTTCGTGCTTTTTATGACAGAGAGGCGAAATCGGGGAAGCGTACTTGTTTTTTTTTCAGTATATGACTTATTGATGTATAAATCAGGGATTTGTCTCTGATACTCGTACTGAAAGCGTGTTTGCTGGATTATAGA